AATTAGCATGTGATGAAAACAATATTGGCAGTGATAACTGAAAAATAGTGAATAGTTTATTCATGTATTCATTAACATCTGTACATTTAAAATTCTTTGCCCTTCAAGTCATTGTGTGTATGTATCTATTCCTTAGCATTTAAATTGATACAATAAGTTACTTTACTGCTTATAACTCTGGCATACCATATTGGAAGCCAGTTTGAGTCCCTTCTGCTTCCTACAGATTCAGCTCCCTGATAACTTGCCTGGGAAAGCAGCAGAAAATGAACCAACTATAGAGTCACCCCTACCACCCCTGATTAGAGCTCCAGGTTTCTGAAATTATTTGTATTTTTTATTTTACATGATGCACTGCCATAGACTCAGGGGTCTCCCGTTCCACCACCTCCCTCCCCACATTATCTTTCTCCTTATCATTACAATAGTATGTTCCTTTAGCAACAGTCACAAGTCCAACATTCTGCTAGTTAAGTGTATCATGACATTTCAGGCACAGACAGTGGTAGGAAGTTCAGCATCCTAGTGTCAAGATAGAGTTAATAGTTTCACTGGGAGTCCTCCTTTTATTCAAAAGTAGAGACATACTTCAGTGTGTATCCAGTTCCTGCTATGCGAGTTTCTATTACATGATTCATCTATGAGAATATATGTACGTACATGTTTACCTTCGTATCTATTGATCTTGTATTTTGCATGGTTGCCTTATATCAGAGAGAACATATGATGCTTGTCCGTTTGGGATTGGCTTATTTCAATGGAGATGATCATATCATCTCAAGTTGTGACTATTTTGTAGCCAATGGCAGAATTTCGTTCTATTTAACGGCTAAGTAGTATTTCATGGAGTGATGTACCACCATTTCTTTTTCCATTCCCCTTTCAATGGGCATTTGGATTGCTTCCATGTCTTTCCTACTGTGGTTTGGGCTGATATGCAGATTTCACTTTCTTTGTACATATTCCCAGGAGTGGGATAGCTGGGTCATACCGTAGATCAAATTCCAGTTGTCTGAGCGTTGTTCATAGTGACTTCCGTAGTGGCTGCACAAGCCTACATTCCCACCTGCAATGGAGGAAGGTACCTTTATCCCACATCAAAATCAGCAGGTGTTGTTGGTGGATTTCCAGATACAGACTAATCTTGTTGGGGTTATGTTCAATATCAGTGCGGGTTTTGTTTGTATTTCCCTGATAGTTCAGGAGTCTGAACATTTTTAATATGTCCATTTGCCACTTGAATTTGTTTTGAAAAATGCCAGCTTATTTCCTTCTCTCACAACTTCACAGGGTTGTTTATTTTGCTGTTATTCATTCTCTGAAGCTCTTTGCAAATCCTGAGTATTAGTCCACTATCAGGTGTATAGTGTGCGAAAGATTTTCTTCTGTTCTCTTGGTTGCTTCTTCACTTTGCTATTCATTTCCTTTGTGGTACAGAAGCTGTTTTGTTTGATGTATTCCTGTCTCTTTTATTTGGCTTTGACTTCCCTGTGCTTTTGGTGACTTTTCTAAAATGGCTACACCAATGCTTATATCATGCAGAGTGGTACCTATATTTTCCTCTAATAGTTTGACAGTGTTTTAGTACAGACTTTGGTCCTTGATCCATCTAGAGCTGATTTTTGTACAAGATAACAGGTTTGGATCTTGTTTTTGGTTTTTGGGTTTTTGCTTTTGTTTTTTTTACTTATGCAGGCTTATTATCAGTTGTCCAAACAGCATTTGTTGAAGAGACAGAACTTATTCTCTGGGTTGTTTTCCATTTTCTTGTCAAAGATTTATTGACCTTCCATGTGTGAGCTTACTACTGGGGTTTCTATTCTGCTCCATTGATCTTGTCTGCTGCTGCACCAGTCCCATACTGTTTTGATTACCCTGCCCTGTAGTAGGTCTTGAGTTATCAAATTGTGATTCCTCCAGTTTTATTTCTATTCTTTAGGATGGCTTTGTCCAGTCATGTTTTCTTGTGTTTCCAATTTTTCCTATTATCATTTTTACTACTGAGAATAATGTTGTTGGGATTTTGATTGGGATCGATTTCAATCTGTATGTTACTTTTGTAACACTTTGATGACATTAATCCTGCTGATCCTGGAACATGACACATTTAGCCATCTTTTGCAGTCTTCTCCCATTCTTAAAAAAAAAAATTTCATCATATAGGTCTTTGGTGAGATTTATCCCAATATTTTAAGGTTCTCCTCCACTATTTTAATGGGGACTCTACTTACAAGTTCCTTCTCAGTCATGGAGTTGTTTGAATATACTTAGTGCCATCAATTTCGGTTCATTAATTTTGTGCCCTGCTACTGTGCCAAACTGCCTTGTGAGTTCCTGTACTCTCTTCATTGAGTCTTTCAGTTCTTCTATGTAGTAAATCTTGTTATCTATGAACAGGGATAATTTTAATTCCTTGTTTTTAATGTGACTTTCTTTCATTTGTTTATCTTGCCTATCAGCTCTAGGAAAGATTTGTAATAGTATGTTGAACAGCACTGGTGACATTTGACATCCTTGTCTGTTTCCAGAGTACTGGAAAAGCTTACAGTCTTTCCCTATTCAGTATGATGCTGGCGTTGAATTTTCTGTGTATTTGGATTGTGTTGTGTAATGTTCCTTCTATGTGAAGTCCAGTAAGATGGGGAAAGGATGAAGGCTGCATACAGGTAATGGCTGGATACAGAAAAAGGGACTGCTTCTGGGCAATGGTGAACCCTAATGGGCCAACACCTGCGTTAGATAACAGCAGTCTGAGTGTAGTGAGAACACACAAAAACAGCCAGTATGAAAGAAGAACTGATGTGAACCATGTAATTATGAAGTATCTGCTCAAGGAGAATTTTTGAGAATTTGTAATGAAATCAAATGGGGTGGGGAGACTGTTACTGATTAAACTAGACAACTACCCATTAATCTCACAAAGAGAAACAAAAAGAAGACGTTTACTATTTTGATTACTCACTCTGCTTTCTTTGTGGTATATTGAAGTTAAGCTAAGATTTTGGTACCTGTAACTCCCAGCCTGCCCACCTATTTCCATTATGCATGAGATTTTTTGTCATTATGAACAAACATCATATAATGTTAGAACATCTTTGAATATTTGTGATTTTCTGAATCTTTTTCAAATTGTTTAGATAACTTTTAATGTATCTGTGTGTTCATTTGTCTTAGCTATGATTATGGCATAGAGTCTAGTGTGTGGGAGCAGATTTAAAACTTTCACTAAAACACAGAATTAAGAGTCTTAGTGTATGACTGATTATGTGATTATGTTTTCTTGGTAAGGTACAAGAAGAAAACCATAAAAATAAGTTTGAGATTTTACAAATTTTAAATGTTCATGATACACAGTTTACAGAAAATGGTATTGTGGCACAGTGGATGTGTCGCTCCTACAACATTGGAATTCCATGTCAGAGTGCTGGTTCAAGGACTGGGTAATCTGCTTCTGATCCAGTTGCCTACTAATATGTCTAGGAGGACAAAAAATGATGGCTCAAAAACTTGGACTCCTGACTCTAATGTGAGAGACCCATATGGAGTAAATGTCTCTTGGCTTGGGTCAGGTTCAGACTGAGTGTGGCAATTTAGGATGTGAAATAGAAGCTGAAAGAACTTGCTCTGTCTCCCTGCCTCTGACCTTCAAATAACAAGTAAAAATACATAGTTTTTGTATACAGTTAATAGAAAAGATGGTATATTTCTGGTATATTTCTTTAAAATTATGCATAACTTTTTCATAACACATTTCCATGAACTATTTTAAGATCTCTTACATACATGTTTTCATTTTCTTTAAAATAAATGAACTTAGAACTAAAAACATGATAGTCAAAAGAGTTTTGATCACTAGCTATCTATTATATATGGAACCAGAAACAAAGCCTTGATTGGTTTGCCTCCTCCAAGTCCAAGGCTCTAATTTTTCACTTCATAAAAAAAGAAGTGATAAGAACAAATGTCATGTAAAGTCTTTGATGACCAGTTTCAAACTGAAATTGCATACGTATTGCCAAGGTTGTACCTAGAGGAATTGTTCATGCTGGCTCAAGGTCCTTACAAGTTTCACCTGAGTTTCTAAAGAAGGCTGCCAATACCCATAGAGGTAACTTCACTGAACTCATGCTGTGTCCAAACTCCCACCCAGATGCCTTCTTTGCTCAGTTGATAGCAGTTGCCTCAATTTTGATTTCTTACTCTGTTGATCTCTTTGGAATGATATCTCCTTGGGATGTTGATGCTGTGTATTGGGTTATCCTTTGTCGATATATTGGTTAATGAACTGCTGCTTTTGTCTCAGGACACAAGACTTCAGCCCCAGTCCACTTTCTTGGGCTTGCACTATTCCATAGGGAAGATTTAAATAATTTTGAAACTAACCTAAGGCTTAGGAGTTTGTTACCTATTAAGCAGAAGCATTGATTTCCTTGTCTTAATGACTATAGTAATTTTCATGGCTGAAAACTGAAACCTGTTTGTGAGAAGAAATGTGTGGTGTCGGAGCACATAACAAGCTAGCATCTAAACCTGCTATTCAAACCCAGTGTCTGAATCTGCTTCCAACTAACTCCCTGTCATGCTAGGAATGAGTTGACTATATTGGGCTTCAGTAATCCTGTTAAATAAATCAATGTTACACATCAAATCTGATTCACTTTGGCTGCTAGAGTTAAATTCTAGTTCTTGATTTACACTGTGAGAGCCACTAAAATGAGGAATGGTGCATCACTTAATTTATGAAACTTTAGGTTGGATTTGGCCAAAGTGTTGGATGAGTGACTGAAACCTGAAGAGTTGTGTTCTTCGGAGTAAAAGTTGGTTACAAAGGAAATCTTATATCTTGATCTCATACAATGAATCTTTGTTCCAAATACTGGTAAGATAATATGCATTTGCAACATTTGTTTTTACCAAACACACTTGCCTTAAATATTTGCTAATGCATTCTTAACTATTTTTTTTCTGTTTTGTATTTCTATTTTTAAAAATTTTTGCAGGATGTTTTCACTCCAGAATGTAAATTTAAAGAATCTGTTTTTGAAAACTACTACGTGATATATTCTTCCACACTGTATCGTCAGCAAGAATCTGGCCGAGCTTGGTTTCTGGGACTCAATAAAGAAGGACAAATTATGAAGGGGAACAGAGTGAAGAAAACCAAGCCCTCATCACATTTTGTACCAAAACCTATTGAAGGTATGAAACTAAACTCCTTGCTTTGGATCCTGATCTGTGTCTGACCCAGTGCTGTTCCATGTGTCTTTACTCTTGAGGGCTTATTTTGAAAGCAGCAGTGAGAAGAGACATTTAGAAAACACAGTACTTCTTTTCATTGCAAAACAAAAGAAAAAAAAGGAAAACAAAATTCTACTAAATATTCAGCACTTACCATTTGAAATGTCATTTCAATTCTTGAGTTGAAAGCAGTATTTAGTTTCTCAGTAAACACCCTTGAAAAACCTATAACACTTTAGTACCTGAAAGGTTTCCAGAGCTTTTAGAAACACACCATGTATCACCATCTCAATCAATGTCATTCGTTATTTAACATCATAATCCATCATTTTTCTACTAATTTATATATTTTATTAATTTATAGTTTATTATATTTGTATAATTATATGTATGTGTTATATTACATTATAATTGTTGTATAATACATATAACTATGATGTTATGTTTTATATTTATATATTAAACATGAATAATTTACATTTATTTATAAATGTAGTATTTATATATTAAACATGAATAATTTACATTTATTTATAAATGTAGTATTTATATATTAAACATGAATAATTTACATTTATTTATAAATGTAGTATTTATACATGTAACCTATTTATAGTTATATAACATAATTATACTTATATTCTATCTAGTATAGATTCATTATATTACATATAATATACTTGTTATATAATTATTACTATATTATATTTCTGTAGTCTATATAATTTATAGTTTATTAATTTAATAAGGCTTATTAATTTCTATAGCTTTCTAAAGATTTGTAGCATTAATATCTTTCTCAGTTGAGCTAGCAACTCCTGACCCTTGATTATTTAATAATACTCACTTATTTCAAATTTGAGCAGTTATTAATAATTTTATGCTAAGGAGACCCAATTTCACAAATAGTGTTTTCTCAAAGTTACGTTACCAAGAGGCTTATGGCATATGAATGACCACATTTACTGATTTTCATCTATGTTCCTAACATGTGTTGAGTGATATCAGTGGGCTAAGTATTTGAATATCAATTTTTTTCTCCTCTAGAAAGTTGCATTATCGTAATTTTGAAAATTGTTTCAACCTCTTCCTATGAGGAAATGGAGCACTTGCATGCAGTGACTTAGTCTTGTGTCTCCTCAAGTTCTCAGGTGTGGCAGTCAGCCTGGACAGACCGTGCAGAGCACAGAGTTCTCATGCAGTACCATCAGTAGCCAACAAATACTTGTTAAGTCCATGCAGTGGTCAAATCATTGAATCAAATGGGAAATTCAAAGCTCCTTGTCCGTGTCAAACTTCTCAGTTCCCTATGTTTTTTTTTAAGATTTATTTATTTTTATTACAAAATCAGATATACAGAGAGGAGGAGAAGCAGAGGAGAAGATCTTCCGTCCAATGATTCATTCCCCAAGTGACCACAACAGCCAGTGCTGCGCCGATCTGAAGCCAGGAACCTGGAACTTCCTTCCAGGTCTCCCACGCGGGTGCAGGGTCTGATGGCTTTGGGCCGTCCTCGACTGCTTTCCCAGACCACAAACAGGGAGCTGGATGGGAAACGGGGCATGCCGGGATTAGAACTGGCACCCATATGGGATTCTGGCATGTTCAAGGCGAGGACTTTAGCTGCTGGGCCATGGCACCAGGCCCGTCCCTATGTTTTTAACAAAACAAAATGGAGCTTTCCTTTCCTGCAATATATTTTCATAATGTGGGTCTCCTGTTCTCTGTCCCCTTTCCCCAGTTTTTATGTGCCATTTCATCTCCCTGGAAAAGCATATGGGTCTTTGTAAAAATTTAATTTGAGTCATTACTTCTGTGCTTATAAACATGAATTTTTAAAAATGATTCTTTTCTATTTCTTTGAAAAGTGGCATGAGAAAATGAGAGATACCCTCCATCCACTTATTGACTTTGCAAATGCCCAAAACAGTCGGGCCCAAGTCAGGATCTAGGAATTTGGGAGTCACATGTGGGTGGTAGGAGCTCAGGTGCAGGTCTGACCTGTACTGCCCACCAGGCGTGGTAACAGGATGCTGGGTAGAAGCAGTTCTCTATCCCAGGCACATTGATGTGGCATGTGAGCCAAACAAGCCAGAAGTTTAACCACTCAAGATTTCATTAGCTTAGAGTCCTCTCTACCCAGCCCTCCCTCCCCGCCTTCTTTCTACCCCGCCTTCTTCTAAATCCCTCCCTTCCATTCTAGCTCTCAGCAAAATTCAAGAGAATAATAAACAGTCAGGTTTCTGCAATCTTAGCAGAGCGGTACAAAATGAGAGGCAATAACATTCTAAGTGCAGTGCAAAAGAAATCAGGAAAATGCCTATTTTTTTTCATAGCGAAACTGAAAAGTACATAAACAGTTAATATTTCCACAGAAACTATATTGATTGTCAAAAGTGATGTGTTTTACAAATTATGTTTTCAAATATAACATCACTTTTATAATTTGTTAAAGTAGGGCATGGGCATTAACTGCTTTTGGAAATTCAGGAAAATATAAAGGAAATTTCTTCTCCAAGCCCCCGCTTACAGCAACTATTATCAGAACAACCATAATCTACTCTCTTAATTATAGTTGTCTTTTGTTGAATCAATTTCTGTCTTGGGTCTAGATGACTGACTACATATTTCCAAGAAAAATGTGTAAAATGACTGTGTTGCTAGCTCCAGAACTGTTTCAGTTGGGCGACTTTTAATGTACTTCAGCACAAACATGGAGACAACAGTCAGCTGCAGGTGTTAGAGTAGTGGGGTTTGGTTTCTCATTTTTTCTCACCACACGACACTCATGTCAACAGCAGCCTGGTCATACAGGTTTTTCCCCCCACAAACCAAATCTAGAGATCAGCTTTCCAGAGCTAGAATCTTGGCTTCTCATTGTTAGGAACCTTTAGTGCATCTCTCCCTGATGTTTTACTGTGATAAAGATACTACATTTAATATGCTTATTATTTCTTATAGATGAGGAAACTAATGTTTTAAGTTACTAAATAGCTTGTCCCAGATCACACGGAATTAATACGTATCTGGCATTGCAATGCAGAGAGATGAACGCAACGCTCTTGTATTTAATCTCCTCACTGTCCTGCCCCTTAACCAGAAGACAGACCATTAATGTGTGCATATTGAGAAAACCAGCAATGACAAGGCTCAAGTGCTATATCATGATACAACTTGAACAGCAAACTCATTCACATTTATGCAGGGTTGAGACGAGTAGGATGGCATGTTAAGGAAAATGCTTTATTATTAAGTAATCAGAACAGTTAAGAGAATGCCATTTTCAGGTTAGGACGTAAGAAATTTAAAATACGTTGCTTCTTTTCTGGTGAATTCTAACATATTAAATTTCTGCTGCATAAGAAAATTTTGACAAAAGGATTCCTGAAGCAGCCACATTGTATGGCAGTCTGTGCAAGTATGGTAAACTACACACCTTCATGGAATCTACCATAGGATGTACATATAGGAGTACTTTAATCGTATTTCATTATAAAATTATTGAATGAATAATGTATAATTTTATGAATTATTTCTGTAATCAGTTATTGGCGGTGGGTGTATGAAATTTGTTCTGATGAAGAGTCAGAATTTTTAAAAAATTCTAGCCATAATTCATATCTTTAAACATTAAACATTTGATAATATTTTTGTAAGACAATGTAAGCATTTAGCTGGAAGACACAGTTAGAAAAGAAATAGGTGTTGCCTTATATCAGGGAGAGTATATTATATACTTTTGTCTTTTACTTATTTCACTAAGCATAATGATCTCCAGTTGGAACCATTAATAGGTAAATATGTAGATCCACATATTCTCTAAATGAACTGTATAATGGAGACTATCATAGTGGGAGATGAAGATAACACTGAGTATGCATCTCTGCTCGCGATCAAAGATGGAGTCCCAATGAAACCGTTAAATATGCCTTGGCAATATATTAGATTTTTTAACATTACCAATACCTACAATACCATGGTACATTTAAATAGCAGAATCTTTGAATTGTGACTATTGCTGAAGGACTATACTATTGTAATATAGGGAAACACAGTTGTGGGGGGTAGAATTGGGAAGGATGAAGAGGAGGTAGTGCGGGCAGTCCTATACCTACAAAACTGTATCATGGAAAGAAACAATACATTAAAAAAAAAAAAGCATTTTAAAAAAGCAGCAAAATAGTGATAACTCACAGGGTTGTTTTTTTCTTTTTTTTTGCATTGCTATTTAACCAAAAGTATTGCCAATTGTGTTATTTTTAACTTTCTAAGGCACTTTTGTAAACATGTTAGCTTAGTATCAATAGTTTTACCATCCCCTCATAGACCAGTAGTGTGTGCAAAATGTGCCATTTCTCTTGTGAAGGCAAATGGGCCCGTTATGGAGTAAAAGCCAAAGCAGGCTTTTTTAGTTCATTGTTTTATTTTTTATTTTAAACATCTCTACCCTTAACCCAATACAGTTGGTGATTGTATTTAGAAGTATAAGTTTTCCCAAATTTGACCGAAGAAGTTTAAGGATTTTACATTGGATCACAAGATGGCAATGATGTGCCAATCTCTCCCCCTTTACTCCTTCAGCCCTTATGCACAGTGGGTGGTACTGGCGAGTTGCAGGACCATCTACTTAGTCAAATAGGACTTGCTACTTAAGCCTATTACTGTGTATATTGCATATAAACCTCTAGTTATGTGGGTTGCCTGTACCCTGTCCAAGCATTGTTCCCATTAAAGATAAATGACTCCCCAGGATTTAAATTCTCCTGAATTTCCAGACATAGGGGCCATATACCTTTTGACAAAGAAAAAGATGGGATTTCTTTCTTTTCTCCTTTTTCCTTCTCTCAGAAGTTCATTACTCAGCATTTATAAGTGGTTTTGTATTCAAGATCTCATCCCTTACCATTGGAAAAAAATGTGTGCACTTTTCAAAGACTTCAGCTTTTGAAGAAAGATGTTTC